CTCTTTAAGGCTATAAATAAGAGAGCAGGGCGGACATGCAAAACACACCAGACAAGACACAACAATYTGTAGAGTTCTTCCYTGTTCTTGYYGCCCCTACCCAGTTCGATCTCCACTTGTGGGAGTGATCAAGAATTGTTCTTGATATTGCTTCTTGGTAGAAGAAGCAATCTGAAGTCGTGCTCACCAGCCCTCTACCCCATTCTTGCTGAAGAGTCGTCCTGCTAATCCTGCTTCACCTCACACTGTGTCATCTTCAGTGGAAGCAGTTTTTGGTTTTCTCCTTGAAAATGCAGTTTTCTAAAATAGGGAATGTGATTCCCAGATGGGAGAGAGAAATTTTTGAAATTTCGCCCAACCTTCCTGTAGGGTTCGGCCATCCATACGATGGATCTCTCATCCCTTCACTTACCTCTTGGGCTGCAGGTTCACGGTAAGAACAGGCCATAAGAGCATTAAACACTTGTTGGAGCAGAGGGTATTGGACCCAAACCAACAAAAATGGGTTTACAAGTTGTTAAGGTGTGACTTTCAAATCGAATACAAGCCAAGGCCTTCTAATGCAGTGGTTGATGCCCTTTCTTGGGTGGAAGGGTTTAATCAGTTGGGCCTATCTCGACCCATTTATCCACTACTTGATTGGGTAAGATAGGAGGCCCAAGAAGACCCCCACCTATCTCATCTCAGGGCCCAGTGTCTCAACAATCCCCAAGGTATGTGATATGTGCCTTAGGAGAACTCACCCCTAAAAGCTAGTTGTTAGAGGGAGGGAACCCWAGCACATATATACCCCACAACAGCATCCCATACTACCTATGTGGGATACCTCACATTAGCATCCCATACTACCAACATGGGACAAATGGATCGTAACACCCCACCATGCTTCCACAGTCCTGGCGCCCACGCAGGCTGGCTTTGCACTAGTCCATCTAGTCTCGGCCGAACACTGCAATACCGACGTCACCACCTGCGCCACACAATTGCAACTGGGAGGCATAGTGTAGGCTCTGATACCATTTGTTATGTGCCTTAGGAGAACTCACCCCTAAAAGCCAGCTGTTAGAGGGAGGGAACCCAAGCACAACAGCTTCCCATACTACCGATGTGGGATACCTCACATTAGCATCCCATACTACCAACATGGGACAAATGGATCGTAACAGTATGAAGTTAAGAATGATACCCTCTTCTACAAGGGAAGATTAGTAGTGCTAGAAAAGTCGCAACTCCATCAAGAATTACTGAGACTCTTCCATGACTCCGTACTTGGGGGTCAATCAGGGGTCCTTAGGACCCGTAAAAGACTGGCAGCCCGCTACCATTGGAAAGGGATGAACCAAATGGTTTGGGACTATATAGCCAGGTGTGAGATTTTCCAACAGAAAAAATACAAAAAACACCCAAGCCCAGTAGGGCTGTTAGAACCCTGACCTATACCAGAGAGAGTTTGGGAAGAAATAACCATGGATTTCATAACCGACCTACCCAAATCAGCAGAGAAGTCTGTTGTGTTGGTAGTAGTGGATAAACTGAGTAAATATGCACATTTCATAGCCCTTCCCCATTCATACACAACAGTGACCGTAGTCTGTACATACATACAAGAGGCTGCCAAGCTTCACGGGATGCCCCACTCTATACTCACAGACTGAGACCCTCTTTTCATGAGTCAATTTTGGGATGCCTACTTTTCGGCTCAAGGAGTGCAAATGCTACATACCACCAGTTATCACCTCCAAACTGATGGCCAATCGGAGGCAGTGAACAGATGTCTTGAGACCTACTTAAGAGCAAGGCACCTCTGCTGTAGTTGCTGTAGCTGAAGTGACCCTTTGAAGGTACTGGTACAACATTACCTATCAAGTCTCAGCCAGGATCACACCCTTTGAAGGTACTCTATGACCATGACCCACCCTCCCTCCTACCTTATGAGCAAGGCACCTCTGCTGTAGCTGAAGTGGGAGCACAGTTGACTGCCAGAGATCAAATACTGAAATCACTCAAATTCCACCACCAACAAGCCCAACAACGCATGAAGTTGGCCTATGATAAGAAGCATTGGGAGCTGGAGTTCTCTTTGGGTGATTGGGTTTACTTAAAGCTCCAACCATACAGGAAGACCTCTTTGGCCYAATAGAAGCTGGCTTCACGTTATTTTGGGCCCTTCCAAGTGGTGGAGCACATAGGGCAGGTGGCGTATCGCTTGGCTCATCCACTAGACTCCAAGCTGCAGCTAGTTTTCCACGTCAGTCTCTTGAAACCATGCCTAGCTACATCGGATGTTGTGAGCCCTTCCCTTCCCCAGTACATAGATGAGGGGAAAACAGTGATGGAACCCCAGAGGACCATCAATTTTCAATGGGTTAAACGTGGCAAGAAAACCCAATAACAAACACAAGTCATCTGGAACCACCTGCCCAAGGAAGATGCCACCCGGGAAGATTTTGAGCAACTACAACGGCAGTTCCTTATTGTTGACCTTGAGGCCAAGGTCATACTTGATGAAGAGGGGGATGATAGATTTTGGTTGACACCCAGTCAGGCCCATAGAGCCCGGGCCCAGAATAACATGACCAATTATTCGGGTGTCCCTTGGATCACCCACTCAAAGCCTCCCTTGAGATTTGTTTACATGCGTCATCCACGTCAAGAGGAGTGGACATGGGTTGTTAGCCGTCACTATCCTTCGATGTGAAAAGCATATATAAATATCATTGTAATAAGCTCAAGAAGGCAATGAGAGAAGTAGAAAGCTTGCTGAATTAAAAAATATGAAATAAAAGGAGTTTCTTGAAGAAAGAAGGAAGAGAGAAGGAGAAGAAGAGAAGTTGAAAAGAAAGGAGAGCAATAATCTGGCCACCCCCTTCACTTATTATTTATACTAAAAATAATAGAGCAGTACAAAGACAACTATGCCCTTATAGGGTGGCAAGACATAAAACAGCATATATAAGACACCAAAACATAATAAAATTTGGACTCACATAACTACTGTGGTCCCCACCTCCTATCTAACAACTAACATAAAACATCTACTCAGATAACATAATAAAATTTGGACTCACATAACTACTGTGGTCCCCACCTCCTATCTAACAACTAACATAAAACATCTACTCATAAAAAACATCATAAAACTGATTAATCTTCAACAAGAGAAAACCCTACTTCTTCCTCAGTTCTATTCTTCTTCTTTCCTCTTTTTTCTTCCATCCATTTCAGGAGGGTGATCTCCCTTGAACCAGCTCTCGTTGAATAGCAATTAGTTGTCAAGTTCTTAACAAAATAACACTCTTGAAATGGACAAAAAAGGAAATGATGGAGATAGTGATTCAAGTGAATTGAGTGATGACGATGTTAGAGTGGAATAGACTCATGTTGTTGACGGGTCAATTGACTTAGAAAAAGTCATTGAGGTTGTTTTTCTCAGGAGGGAAGGTGTTTGCTAGGGGAATCTTGAAAGAACTGGAGGAGAAATATAGGATGCCTATGAATAGGAGCGGTGTTGGATCTGCTGATAAAGTGGAAAATAAAAAGGGAAATGAACACAGTAAATTGAGATCAATTGGAGTAGCAGGGCTCTTGACAAAGGGGCTGCTGAGATGGCTTCTGGTCAAATCTTAAAGAAGAATGTGGTCTTAGAGACGGAAAGAATCAATGCCAGATCAAAAGACTTGCAGATGTATGAGAAGGTTCCCAATGCCATTAGATGATTCAGAAGTAAAAAAACACATTGACCTGTTAAGGTTTCAAAGGTTTTCACAAGATTAAACGGGGGATTATTTGGTATTAGGCCTTGCAAAATGGTGAAGAAGGCAAAGAAGGCAAAGAAGGCAAAGAAGGGGTGCAAGTGGAGCAAAGAAAATCCTATTCAAGAGTCTGAAGCAAGGTTCAAAAAATCCACACGTATAGGCCGATATGTATCGTATCAGGAGCACCCTGATATGCCCCTACAGAGGGTGTATCGGGGTTCTGACTGGTTCAGGGGGTGGAGGAACCTTAAACCGCTCCCCTGAACCAGTTTTACAAAAAAATAAAAAAAGTAAAAAAAAAAGTACCGATACTGCCTGATACACCCCTACCGGCGTATCGGGCGTATTGATATTTAGAACCTTGGTCTGAAGTATCTGAGTTGCAAGTATAAGAGGATGTCTGCTGGCTCCGTAATGTTTTTTTGCTCTTTTGTTTGGTTTTGTTGGTTGTTGGGGGTGTAGAGGCTAGTGTTGTAGTTTTTGGTGTTCTTTGATTTTGGTTTTGTGAATGTGTTTGGATGTCTGTTTTGGGGGTTAGTTTTGATTTGGGGTGTTTTTTTCTTTTCTCGTGGGTGAATACTTAGGTATGGGGCATATTACTTAAACAAAAAGAACAAAGCACCTCTTAATAAAATAAGGTATGAAGACTAGAATACCTCTGACCCTTGACTCTAATAACTTGTAATCTTTCTTCTTTTTAATAGTTTTTTTTTATTTATTACTAAAAAAAGAATTTCGGTTTATGGGATATCTCTTACTGCAGAAATTATTCTTATATGTTTTTTTGATAAATGAAATTATTCTTATATCTTGGTTGTTATTTAAAATAAATGTTAAGAAGTATAGGTAATAGGAGGAAGATACAACAATGAACTACAAATTGGATTACATAGAAACACATGGTCAACTATACATAGAGTGCAATCATACTTTTGTTGATTTGCCAATCATGGACTGCGTTTTTGCATATTGGATTACTTCTGTTAACAAAATATGGATGATGACTAAAATAAACTGAGTACATCTTTGTTTCCTTGCAAGTCCATGAAATCATTTGGAGACCACTTTCCTTGAACCACTGGCTGCATCTATCATATATTAACATTATTTCAGTACTGGGTCTCAGTAGTTTATGCTATTAGTTATTCCCAAACAGATGTAGAATAGGACATATGCTATTGCTATTTTGATTTGCTTATGCTTCTGAATATTAAAATGCTCATAATGTGCTTACTTGGTATGCAGTGGGTTGATTGTGTTTCACAGTTACTTCGGATGTATCCTTTTGCTTTTGAGTTCTCCTCGGTATGTGTGTTTCTTCAATTTATGAAATTTACATGTTTTTAATGAGATAACTGCACATTTCTTCGACTACATGCTTCCTGTTGTTTTGGAGGATTACTTGCTGATCTTTGACTTTTATTTGGTGATCCAGGCATTCTTGGTTGATTTCTTGGACTGCATACTTTCATGTCGTTTTGGAAACTTCTTATGCAACAGGTGCTCTCAACTTTGATGCCAAGTATTCCTCCATTTCTAAATCTTCCAAGGTTTCTCAGAATGCATTTCTTGAAGAGTTTGCATTTATATGACAAGCTAACAGACCTGTCTATCTAGATTAAGCTTTTGTTTTGTGGAGGCTTACACTTCCTTGTGCTCTGGAGGCTTACGCCTCTTGTGTTCTGAACTACACCTTGTGCCTCCAGGTAGTGGAATGCCTCACATCACATGTGTGCATAGTTTTCAAGGCGCCAAGGTGAGGCTAGGTGACAGGGGGGGCGCCTTGTCGCCTAGTCGCCTAGGCGATGGATTTTTTTAAGTAAATATCACATATCCTAGGGTAGTTCCCTAGGTTCCATGACCAACTTTCTTTAATAATTATCCATAATTTTCATAAGAAAATTATAAACTTCATGTTTAAGACTAGAAAATCAACATATTTATGAGAAGAAAAAGAAGAAAGGAAAGAAAATTCAAAAAATATAGGGGCTGAACCCTATTTTTGTTATAGGAAAAGAAGAAAAGGTGGAAGAAGAAGAAGAAGAAGAAGAAGAAGAAGAAGAAGAAGAAGAAGAAGAACATGTGGAAGAAGAAATGTGTTGATTAGACAAAATTTTAAGTTCTTCCCTTATTGGTTCAGATTTTCAAGTCATTGAGGGTTCAATACAGCAGTTAGCAATGTTTGTGTTGATTAAACCATAACAAATAAGAAAATAATAAAAAGAAATTAGTTTATAAACACAAAAAATGAATATTTTTCTTTAATAATGTATATTTTATAATTATAATCTCAAAAATAACAATATAAAAGTATTTTATTACACAGTATGCCAAAACTGCTTGGCGACTGGGCGAGGCAAGCCTCCAAGGACGCCTTGTCGCCTAGGCATTGCCTTGACAACTATGCATGTGTGTTAGGTTGCGTTTGGTATGGGTGCAAATGCTGAACTAAAGTGAATTTGCACTTGGTAGGGCTGTCAATTGGACTGGATTTGGTCCAATCCAGTCCAATCCAATATTGATCCATTTATAAATGGATTGGACCAAACCCAGTCAGTTGGACTGGGCAGTTGAACTGTTAACCATTTTTGGTCATTTTTTATTTTAATTATTATTATTATTTTTTAAATTGGAAGGGGCCATCCATTTGAATTGAACGGTTAAACCGCTGACCCAAAAACCGGTGGCCAAAGCGATTCCAGTTGCAGATCGGTTTTTAAAACATTGATTAAAAATTTCACAAAATATAAAATGTATCAAAATAGAAAATAAAAATATAAAAAGAAAATCAATTTCCACAATGATAGAGATCGTTCAGTGCACATTAGCTTTGAGCGAGTGGCCTTCAACTTCTTCTCTCTGAACTTGCTTTCTCCAATCCGAGCACATGATGGATTCTCAGGTGAAGCTTGTAGTCATGGTGTAATGGGACGAACTGGGTCAAGGGGATAGGTGACCCAGTTGAGGGTCAAATTGGTGCTTATCCCCTAATTAGTGTGTTCTTTATAAATCTCAGAATGAGGACTGTCACCACTTACTGATCTCTTGCTCCTTTGCTACAGCTTTATGGAGTTGGATTCTTATGTTGTTTGAGTGTAGGTGGAACCTTCCATCTGATACTAGCTTATTGTTTAGTCCGTCTATTTTTGAATGGCATACAAAGAGGGAGAATTATGTGGGAGTGCATAAGAGCAGCTTTGTTGTGGATAGTTTGGGAAGAAAGGAACACCAGAATATTTTGTGAAAAAGAAAGGAGCTTCTCGGAAAAGAATGTATTCTGACAAGGGCAATTCAGTGACTGAAAACTCTAAAGCTCTTTGGTGCATACTCTTTTGATGACCTATGGAGAAGCTGRTTAGCAGTGGCTAATACTTCTACCAGGAAGGACAGACGTGGGGTTGAATGGATGCCACTAGGGGAGGAGTTTATCAAGCTGAACTTTGATGGGAGTAGCCGAGGAAATCCAGGACCTTCAGGCATAGGAGGAGTGCTGAGACAAAGATAGTAACATTATTTCTTTGTACTCAGGTCCTGCGGGTGTGGGAGACTCGTTAAGGGCTGAATTACTTGCTGCTGTACAAGGAATCCAGCTTGCAAATCAGCTAGGCATAGAGCATCTAATCATTGAAGGGGATTCCCAGGTSATAGTGGGTTGGCTGAAGGATCAGGACACTGTGATTTGGGGTTCTAGAGATCTTCTCAAAAAGGTTAAATGGTTAACRAGGAATATGACAATCAGAGTTCAGTGGGTAGGCAGATCAGCAAATTCAATGGCTGATTCACTTGCAAAACAAGGGGTTCTCCGGGATACTTTATTTTGGGCTTCTGTGTAATTTCTTTTGTACTTATAACTCTATAACTAACTTTAAAGGAAAGGTCGCATCCCGTGCCTTTCTATGGGTGACCGTTGCCGGAGGGCGATAAAGCCTCAGGCTAGAATCGTTGCTGGAGATAAAGCCTCTGTAACATAGAAGGAGAGAGATCGTTACTGAAATGGTTTGAAAACACTCTCTGTAATACTGCTGGAGAGAGAGACCTCTGTAATATGCCACTGGTTAAAGAAGAGGTCGGCTATTGTCGGTTAAAGAAGAGATCATCTAAAACTCTCTCTGATATATATATATATATATATATACAGAGAGAGAGAGAGAGAGAGAGAGATACAGTATGGAGACTGCTTCTGTTAATCTCAAAGAGGACATACAGTATCTAGGTTTGTTCATTAAGGAAGGATCACATCATCCCTTGGTGCAATGCAAGATCCCCTCCTAAATGTCTGGATCTGGTTCTACAAATTAGGTTTAGACCTAGTATAAACATTAGTTAAATGAAATAGGAAACTTTTAGACACCCAATTATTAGACCTTACAGGTAGTATATAGCATCAAAACATTAGGGGTGAGATATGTGTGTAGATCCTACTTGTGTGTCCTAGGCCCACAATCGTACTTGATTGTAACCATCCAGTTCCTTGACATTCTGTAGGACATTCATAAATTTATAACTGATGTTTGTTTCTTTTTTTGGTTGAAGTATAACTAATGTTCATCAAAGGCAATTGCAAATGCTATTTTGACTATATTGAAACTGATTGAAATTACATACTAATTTCTCTGATGGTTAATGTAAAATTTCAGTGAAAAGGAAAGGCAGCAGGCTGGTGTTTCCAATGCTTGTGGATGCTTATGGATCTACCTGGATGAGTTGTGTGCATCTGAGGGAAAGTCTCATGCACACTATAACCCCTTCTATGATCCATTGAAACATGAGGGGCCATTATTACCTCCAGCAGCAGCACTGGCTCCAACCCTATGGCCTCAATTCCATCTTCGGTGGGCCTGTCCCTCAGGGGCACAAGCTGGAGAGCTCGAAGCTCAATGTAGGATTTTGGCTAAAAAATTTTCTGAAATGCAAAAGGTAATTATAAATTTGTGATTGTTATACCTGCTTCTAATTTCTTCTCTGTTTTTCTTTCTTTGACATCTGATTCTAAGCATACCAGTTTGAATTTGTATTTGTGATTCCACCCTGACTTGTAGATGTAGCAGTCTATGTGTCAATTTGAACCCATCAATTAGTGGTATATTTTAGGTAGGACATACTACTTGGATTTGTTAATCCTCTGCTCCAGAAAGCTTGAAACCAGAACTTGGTTCACTGAATTCATGCTTGTAGAGAAAATTTTCAGAAAATCGACTAAATAAATTGGCAAGAATTCTGGGCCAAAGAGGTGGTTTTGGTAGGTGAAAGGTGTTGTTAAATAGATGGAAGAGTGCACAACATGTATTATGATCACTGCAAGTACCTTTGCTGCTTGGGATTATCAAATATTTCTCCCTACCTAATCCTTTAGTGTCTTTATTGAGACATTTGATAATTTGTTCTATTTATTTAACTTTTGATGAGCAAGACTTTTGATAGTTTTGGAACAATATAGCATCTTTTAGCACCATTCGTCAAACTTTCCAGACAAGTGGAAAGATAAATTTACTCAAGATTTCATAGTGGCTATATAGACTGCTATTGCTACAAGTCTATAACTATACGATCTCACTGATGCACATTATTATTATTGTTATTATTTTGCATGGAGAATACAGGCGAAAGAAGTGGCAGAAAGGAAGGCTAAAGACATCATAACAAGCATGGAATCCTTAACTGCTGAACTACAAAAAGAAAAGCAGCTTAGCAGCACTACAATGGATTTGACTAAGAGGGCCTGCAGGGAGAATGCAGCCATAAAACGGGCAATACAGTCACTAGGATGCAAGGTTAACTTCTCAAGTAATGGTGACTGTTCCTTGGAAATAGGAAGCACTCTAGAAGAAATACAGCAGAACGTTATATATCCTCCAAAGGGAGACTCGTATGGAAATAGACAAGTGAAAGAGAAATCAGATCTTTCTGTATCTGTCTCTCTTCTGTCAGATGATACTGTTTCTGACAACCCAATCAGTTGGGTATGTGAAACACTATGTCCACTGCGCACTAGGGAAGGTGGTTGCAAGTGGCCAGATGCTGGTTGTGCACAATTTGGGAGCCAGTTTGTTGGGCTGAAAGCAAACTTTGATGCATTTGATAGTCTTTCTATTTATGATTGTTATTTTGGATCAGAATAGGATGTTCCACAAAAAATTTCACTTCATCTATTTCACAGTTTAACCAAGTGGTTCTCAAGATCTGGGATTTAGGGACAAATTCTTCAAAGAATTTTTCAGTTTGGGATTTTCTCAAGGAATCAAATGTAGTATTGCGTTCAGCTGTATCATATATACTGCATTTTGGTTACTGATTTTATTGGACAAAAGTATGCTTACTCCCATCCACAATGAAGAGAATGAGCAGGTATTTGACGGTATAATAGAACTTTGGGGAAGGTAGTGTCACCTGAGAAAGGTCTCTGTTATGTGTAGATAGACGGTGGACTAATTATACACCACGCCACTCAGTATTGGTACTAATGCTGAAGGATGATACAAGAATGGCTTAACTCTTTGTCCCATGCTCAAGTACATATTCTGGTGGATCCCGCTTCCTTTGTTTTCATTCTTTATATTCAGCAGGGGCTTGTTGTGGCCCTCTTTTTAATTAATACATGGCTGAAGATTGTGTACAGATTCTTAATGTGTTAATTAGGGGTCAATGCTTGGTGAGATGGTAAAATCTTGGGCTGACAAGCATGAGAACGTAGGTCTGAGTCCAAGAGTGGTCACTACATGCTAAAATGCCAGAGGTTAGGTCTGTATCCAGTTCACCTCTCGGAAGACCCTGGATAACTGTAACCAGCATTCGGGATGTCATTTTTATTTTAAATGTACTAATTGTTTGTATAGAGAGCTATATGTAAACCTTTTGGGCTTTATTGTTTTTATTGTCACTGTTGCTGTCATTTTGAGGCAACAGTAGGGGAGACATAGTGGAAGTCGATCTTGATAATCTTCTCAAGGACTATAACATTTATGATTATACATCTTATGTCTGTATTTCTTTGTTATTTATTTGTTTCATGGGGCTACCCCTGACACCCCCCAACCTGGGTAGGGATCTGCTACCAACTAAACGTTTCCAATATGTCCCAACGGGCCACTATAGTCAAGCATTAGGAACATCTCCCTTATTTAAGATGGGATGGGCTCAAGTTCAAAATATCGATACACCCGATATGCTGGTATCGGCGTTTCGATACTCGTTTTTTTACCTTTTTTTATTTTTTTCAAAGCGGGTTCAGGGGAGCCGGTCTAGGACCCTTCCATCCTCTGAACCGGTCAAACCCCCGATAGACCCACTGTAGGGGCATATCAGAAGGGTCCCAGAACGATACGTGTCGACCGATATGGGCCGATATGTAACGATACTTTTAAATTTGGATGGGCTCCCCTATCCCTCCCATGCATTGTGATCATCTTCCCATGACATGCACGTGAGATGTTCCCAGCAAGGATTAAAATATCGACATGATATTCCTGATGCAATATCAATATGAATAGATACGAGATATGCTACGATTGTTACAATTCATGTCCAGTCATGTGTATCAACAAGATATAGATCAGTATCAGTGTATCGCATCGTATTGGCCGATATAGATCGATAAGTTTTGATACACGATACGCATGCATCTCTTGTCTTGTTTAAAAAGCACTCTTACGAAGATTCAAACTCAAGTATTGGCAACGATGCCATTGTGCGCTAACATTCTAAGCCACTATGCCATCATTCAATTTGTGATATTAAGTGATATAAAATAAAACTTATTAACTTTATCATTGACATGAACCTAGACAAATATTATATGTTTATGTTCAATGATTCTAACTTAAAATAAAAAATAGTATTAAAAATTTCTATTTTATAAACATTAATGAAGTAAATAATCTATCAAATTTACATTTATATCAAAATTTGTTTTTTACTCTCAATAACTTTATACAAATAAAAATATTAATATTAGATAATTATTTTAGTACTTAAATTTCATAAATTTGTACATTATATGTATCTTCAAGTTTTAATATTTGTTTATAAATTTCATTGATATTTTAATTTAGACTAAAAATAACATATTTATTATTTACAAAAATAAAAAGAACTATTTACAAAATATTCAAGAATATAATAGTAAATTGAATTTATCAAATCCACTAATTTAAATTTATATAAAAAATGATTTGTTATTTCAGAAAAAAACTATAGAAAATAAAAATGTTAATGATGGAATCATTACTTTAATAATTAAAAATTATGAATTTCATATGATGTGTATCTTAGAAATTTTAATAATTTTGATATACTTTTAGTTAAGATTAAAAGTAAAAACATAATAATAATAATAATATATGTATCTTAGAAAAATTTTAAATTTCATATAATAGTAATTTTGATACTATCAAACATTTCAAAATTTAATATTTAATTGACTTTTTTGGTAATGTTGAAAAGTAAAAATATAAAATAATTGATACAGTAATTAAAATATAATAATTGCATATGTTTTGTGACTTTGGACCTATAGAATTTAACATGATAATGACTTTGTGCATATTTTACTTTGTAAAAGCTATATAATATGAGTCTTGGATTCTTGATGTAGTTATTTTGACTTTTAAAATTAGTGTAATTGATATATTTATGAAATTTGTATCATTTTCTTAGTGTATTCATGTGTTTTTATATCTTTTGTCAGTATCCATGCGTTTTCAAAACGTTACGATACCCGATACCGATACTCTTGATTCCTAATGCGAGGGAGATGGGCTGTGGGTGCAGTCTATGGGGAGTCCTTTCGAACTCTTATCATTCCCGATGCAATGGCTAGTTCAGTCGTTGTTGGCTAATTCAGATACCTTAGACCTTACCAATTGAAGCAAGTTGGGACTTGGGACCTTCTACAAGACTACAACAGTGTTTCTTTGAGCTTAACGTTAAAAATAGAATCGAGAGAATCGTTTTCAATGCTTGGTTGTTCTTTGAGCAGATATGATCAAGCAACAGGATAATGAGGGCTTAGCGAATGAAAAACTGATCATTTTCAGTGCTTTTTGAAAGCCAAATTGATAGTTCTTAAAATATCGATATCTATACAAATTAATATTTACTGTCATCCTCATTTTTTATTTTATAATCATTCAAATTCAAGGGTTGGAACTACATCTTTAAAACAGGCTTGCCCCGCTCTAAAGGTTTGATGTTCTCAAAGAGTAGCTAGTAGCTAACTCATGGTGAGATGTTCTACTGTTCTTGAGCTGGCGTCTTTGACCAATGCAACAAATATGTACAGGTGAGGTGAAATTAAAACCTACGATTCCTGGAAAATTGCGTACAGTACACGACGAGGCTAATAATTTTCAACATGGAAAAAATAAAAATAATACCAAGCTCCTATCCAGCGTTGACAGCAGCTTTTCACGCTGTAAAGTAATGCAGCTGGATGAGCGCGCAGTGAAATCCCGCATCAAATGTGTGTGACTGCTCTGGGTTGGCCGAGCAAGGTTCGAATTTGGGCTCCCTTGTTTACTTGAATAATGCAGAGTGGAATTGGAATGCGAATCGCGAACTGGGTCTCTGTTGTCCACAGCTTATCTAATTCTAATGAGAAATGTGCGTGCATCGCCCTCCCTCGGCTCTCTGGCTACCATGTTGATCTTCTCTGAAAACCATGGAGAAGAGGTCTAGAATCTCTCCACGGGCTTAGCCCAGGTTCCTTCTCAGCTGCCTGATAGGAGCAGAGACTCAAACTCTGGCCATGGCCATCTCTAAGAAAACGCAGGATCTCTTGGAAAAGAAATTCGTCGCAGGGGAGAGCAAGAGGGCCGCTGTGACTGTGGCCATATTCTTCATAGGCTTGATCCAAGAGCTGCCTGAACAGTGGGTGGTTCAAGTAAGACGCCCTGATGACAAACCTCCGGCCAGCATCTCCAACGATGACGGCCAAGTGGCCAGGAGGGACGTCAATGGGCAGTTTCCTCTTCCCTCCAGCAAGCTTACGCCACAGCAACGCAATGCGTCTGAGCCTCACAATGTTGCAGATGCTGCTGCTCTTCCTTCTCTCAGGCGGAACAGCCATGTGTGGTGGTTGACTGGTTGTGGTTGAGAAGAATGCTCAACTGCTCAGGTCAATTTATCAATAATCAAACGTTTGATAAGAGCACAGACAGGGTTGCCTCTGGGTCTCTACTCTCAAGTGGGGAATATAAATAATATAAAATGCGGATGCGGATGCTGCTGATGATGATGATGATGGTGGAGGATTGTGGATATACGCAAGAGGGAGTCAGGGGCCCACCCATGTTGTATGTTGGTGATATTGGCCATCTTTCATGTGTTCCTCACGTGTGGTGCACCCAACCATGACTGCCTTCCTTCCTTCTGTTCCACTTTAGTACTCACTACATGCAGGTATGGGAAGTGGGGCCATGTTTTCATATAAGGCCGGTCATCCAACCAGGGCGTTCTGTATCGAAGCGTATCGGGTGTATAATGATAATATATCGGTAATATGTTGATGTAATAGAAATTAAATAGACTGATCTCTGTAAATTTTCTAAAAAAAAACTAAAAAAGGGTAGAGGGTGATTGAAACACTTGATGTGAATGTTTTGGTGTTTCGGGGTGTATCAATTTTGAACCTTGGTTTGCAGTATAACTCTGAACATAATGCATAGCCAACCGTCTACATTGCTTAAAAAAATCTGAACAAAATACAAAATTTGCATCCACTTCAGTTTTACATCCATTTATATGTAATTATGGTTTGTGTTCCTCTTTTTTTCTAGTGGAAATTTATATTTTTGTGTCATTTGTATTTATCGGTGGTATAATTTTTTTATCTTAAAAACTGATGCAAATTTTACACCACCTTCACCTTACCTCACCTCAATTTTCTCTTCATACACCAATACATATGAAATTTGCACCCTAAACCAACTGAGCAATCAATTTTAGCTACCTAGTTCATGGCTTTACTCCCTGAGAGCACGTTCATTGAATCATCAAATCTTTGGGATAAAGTATAAAATCTAAGGATGTGACAGCTGTGGGCTGTACAATTCTCTTTCTCTCTCTCAATTTTTCTTTTTAGGGATATTATTTGAAATTCACCATGACTTTTCAAAATTTATAAAAAGCCCCATGTCAGTAAATTTTTATTATTTAAATCTCATCTTTGGTCAAATAATTGTTAGTGACCATAAGAGAAATTGTACACATAAACATTTAAGTAATTTGCATGACCAAACTACCCCTAAATAGTGATCTAATTTCTGACCATTAGATTGATGGCAGGAACTTCAGAATCACACTATGACTTTGAAAATCCAAGTTTGATAAATCAGAAGTAAATGTCAGTAATAATGAAAACCCCACTGTGGTTGATTTTAATGAACTAACAAGTTCATTATCATCTTGGCTTTGCTTTCATCATCTCTGCTAGAAGAGTTATTCATGTAAAACGGCAAGCCCCTATTTACCATTTTGGAAAAGGGCAGAGGAAAACAACTAAAATCTTCAAACATTTCTTCTCTCAGGAGGGTTTGGTGATGAGTGCCATTGACTACAATACTGGTGTTTCAATGTTTTCAACAGTCACTTGCAATTTCTCCATATTTTTTCTTTGAGAAATAGTAGAATGGATGGATGTTGTTATATATCTCAAAAAGCAGTGACAGTGTGATACAGCAACATCGACTCCAGAAGCTCATCTCAAACAGGAAACCTTTTAATTTGTTACATAGTTAATTAGAAATGGATTCGCAAGCATAATAATAAATAGAGTTAGAGTAAAACAAGAATGACTGGTGAATTTGTGTTTAGCTAGAGTAAAACAAGGCCCCAGTACAAAGTTCTTAATTGGGTTAGTCCAACTTTGGGTTCTCTGGAGAGAGAGATTCGGGTGTCTAAGGTAGAAGGTAATGAAGCTTTATGATATTTATGGTGGTGTTTGGTATGATTTTGGTTTATTTGACAAATGGTGTTATATCATTGTCAAATCAACATTTATCCCATTATGCCGATTCCTATGTATAGGTATTAATAAAATTTGGTCTTGATTTATATGTGCATCAATTATTGGAGGAAGCTTCTTCCGACGGTTAAGTGTTTATTCACTGTTCTGCTGATGTGGTGCCTAATTGTTAATAAACGGTTTATCAAGTACTTTTTTTCGAATTTGAAAAAAAATCAAATACAAATATTTATTTAATAAACGGAAGCTATACCAAACACATGCTATATCAACCAAGGAGTGGCTATTTTCTTAATATGTTAAGTGGTTTGTTCGGGTATTGACGTAGAATCGATTCCTGCAACCATGGATACGGGGAAAAACATAATTATTAGTGGTATATGACATCAAATACCAAAAAAATAAACAATTTTTATAAGGATAGTATGGGGAATTTGATAAAACAGTTTATTTTTTAACATAAATGGGGCTCTCTCCAGATTTTGAAAATCATTGATGAATTTAAGAAAAATATGAAAAAAAAAAGTCATTAAATAATATCCCTTCTTTTTATAACTTTTTAACTTCTGATTTTCCATCATCTTTCATCAAAGAGGCTGTGATAAAGATGGATGGTGATGGGTCGCTGCAAAAGAAAATAAATAGCTGTAAACATCAAATGGTTTGTCTCTTGACCAAAAATGAGCAGGAGTTGGTAGTCAATACCAGATGACTCAGCACCAGAGAATAAATAATGGATAGGTGCCGAACTCAATTCATCAAAGACAAAATAATTCAGAGAGAATAATATAACTGGGTCCTGTTTCAGACTTACACCCGTGACCAACTAAACATTCTCTCTCTCTCCCTCTGATTGAGACTGAACTGAATTTTGAAGCACTAATCCAATCCCTTAGAATCGTTCCACCTCTCTTTATTTCACCCGACAGAGCTCGTGAGTCGTGACTAATTGAGAGAGATTACTGTGGTCAGCACTTTCAGATATTGGAATACTCCAAAACGGCAAAAGATAAAAAATAAGCAAAATACTGAACCTTTGAGAGAAAACATAGATACAATAATTAAGCTCTTTTCTAGCTAGCTACAACTATGGTGATTAAAGAGGTGTAAAGTGGCTCCAACCCCGCGCTTGCCGTGTTGGCCGTGGGCCGTTACGGGCCATGTTGCCCTTTTCGGTGAAAAATTTGGAAATCAGCCCGGCCCAGCCTACAATCCAGGCTCATGCGGGCCCGTGTTGTGTTGTGTCGAGTCTTAGGCCCGGTCTAGCCCATGCTGTGTTGTGCCGAGCCGTGTATCGGGTCAATGCTATTTATTTAAAAAAATTGATAAAAAAACTTAAAACTTTAATTTTATATGAATTTTGTGTATAAAATTGCTTATATATACAACAATTAAATAAATTAGTATATAAAATTAAAAAATATTTATTTTATTAATATATTATATAATGTATATTATTATATAAATATAAATAATATATATAGGTCATGCCGGCCCATGGACCTAAAACCCTAAGCCCAACACAGCCCGCATGATCGTACTGGGCCTGGCATAGCCCACAGACCATCGTACCGGGCCGGTCCAAATTCGTGCCAGGCCATGCCAGGCCACAGGCGGCACAGCCCAATTTACACCTCTAGTTTCTAAAAGAAAGAAGAATACCATGGTGATTAGGACTTCTTCTCAAATAGAAACACTACATGAACTGAAGCTTAGAAAAGTTCAGTTTGCTTCCCTTCATTCTTTCAATCTATAAATTAACCAACCCTGAGTTCAAACTAGAACACAGTTGCAGTAACCATAGAAAGGAAAACCTAGAAAAATCCATATTGATAGTGCGAGTAACCTAGCTTGAATGGGGAACAAAGGGTGGGATAAAGAAACCATATATCAAGGTTTTAAAAATCGGATTAGACATGAAACCGCTCTGTGAACCGATCCCCAATTTGAATAGTCCAATCATTTGGTTCGAACAGATAGCCTGTTCTGATTTTAAAAATTAAAAAAAATAATAAATAAATTAAAAAAGTCAAAAAACCATTATCCGGATTGATGAATAGACTGCCTAATTCAGCAGACTGCTGACCAAATCAAAGGTTTTTGRACAAAAGACAGTTTTAGGATGAAACAAATCCCATTACCTGACCGATTATAGATCGATCTGACCGTCCGGTCTAGCTCTACTTTCAAAACCATGCTATATATTCACATGGGCACCTTTAATATCAGTCTCATTTCTAAATCTGATTCTTCAGCATATATAAACGGGTGAGCTGTGTGTTCTTCACATTGATATTTGGGTATGAAGTGAGCCTGATATTAATAGTCTAACCTGATCAAACACCATCTCCAAGTTGTTGACCTCTGAAGCAGCTATTAGCTTTAAATCGCCTTGGTGCATATATCAGCACAAAGATAATGAACACAGAGATAATGAGATTTGAGACGATTTGATTCAAATGGGTTTGTGGCATGTGTCTCTTTTATGGGATCATCACTTTTTTTACCTAACCCCTTGCAGCCCTCGCGATTAGGTGTAATGTGGTCTCGATAGAATGGCAATTTTTCTCGTCCTTATTGGGTATCCGCTATCCAGCTTCCCCGGCCCGATGGAATCAGGGATGGAGATTTTCTTGGCAGGGATGAGATTCATAATGACATGGAGATGGAGACGGGGATGGAGAATGAATTCCTTGCCCTGTCCCGACCCTGATTATAAATATTACATGCACGCATGCATTATATATAATAATTTTAAATTCAAAAATTTGGGGATTCAGGTCCCTATTCAAGATCAGGGATGAAAGGTCTTTTTTATCCCCAATGGGGATCAGAGTTAGGGACGGGGAGTATGGTCCCCACCCCAAACCCTGTTTCCATTCCGCATGACAAGGCACAGTAGAGCAAGGAAGGAGGCCTAGTATGGGTCCAAAACATTTTTCTATGAAAGGAAAAATTGAAAGAATAACGAACGAAACTTGAAAAAGTAACTTAACAAGATAGACAAYAAATTGAAAAAAAAATCTTAAAATTTTAATCCATATAAATTTTAATATATATGATTATTCGTATATGAAACAATAAATTAAAATTGGAAAAAAATATACAAAGAAATTGGAATAAAATGATATAATAAAATTAAAAATAAAAATTTACAATGGAATTGAAAAAAAAAATCATAAATAACTTAGATTACAATTTACAAATAAAATTGAAAATCAAAATTTGAAATAATATTAAAAATTTTGTGCAATTATTGGGTCTTCAAGTTCCATCTCCTTGATTGGGTCTTCTAGTGTTCCACTCGATGAAGTGTCATGATATTGTAATCTATCCTTTGTATTTAGCCAATCTTCGAGACATATATACACTTCCAAAGTTTATATGTCATATGGCGTCTCCTATCATCCAATGCTCTGTTATATCAGCACTAAAACAATACTTCAATATAAACATCAGAGGGATTAGTGGATTACAAGCCATAGCGACAAACATGTCATAATTATGTTCGCATGCTTTCTATTG